ACACAGTCTATTGTTTTTGGTTCAATCTTAGTCTTTTTAGGAACAGGAACTTTAACTTTAACCAAACACCCCCACACTTTTAAGTATTTGTAGGATGGTACTCTTCCATGCCACATTTCATAAGGTGTTTGATTCACTTTCTTTCGGGATATTTTATTTAGAATATAATTAGTAGAAAGTATTGCTTCTCCCCACAAGTTCTAAGATAATCCTGAACTTATTAACATGGCATTCATCATTTCTTTTAAAGTCTTATTTTTCTTTTCGGCAATTTCATTTTGCTGAGGTGAGTAAGCAGCGGTGGTTTGATAAATTATTCCATGTTCTTTACAAAACTCACTAAAAGGTGATTCATATTCACCATCTTTATCACTTCTTAGTTTTTTAATTTTCTTACTAAGTTGACTTTCAATTTCATTCTTATATTGAATGAAAGTTTCCAAAGCTTCATCATTGGTTCGAATTAAATAAACATAACTATATCTGATATAATCATCTATGAAAGTGATAAAATATTTTTTCCCACTTCTAGTTTGAATTGATTTAAAATCACAAATGTCACTATGAATTAATTCAAGTGACTTCGTACTTCGTTCAATTGAATGAAAAAGAGTTTTAGTTAATTTTGCCTCAACACAAATTTCACATTAATGATTTAAGTCATTGTCAAATTTAGTTAAACATTCCATATTAATTAATCTATGCAAAGATCCATAATTAACATGTCCTAATCTACTATGCCACAAATTTGAAGACTCAAGCAAGTAAGAAGAAGATGTATTATTATTAATAACAGAGGGTGCAACAGACATTACATTCATTTGGAAAAGGTCATCAGACATGTAACTTTTTCCTACATACATCTCGTTTTTGGTAAGTATAATATTGTCACTTTTAAAAATTAGCCTAAACCCATTTTTGCTCAACAGAGATCCGGAGACTAGATTCTTGCGGATGTCCGGTACATGCATCACATTGTTGAGAGTGAGTTCATCTCCAGAGGTCATCTTCAGAATAATCTTTCCTTGTCCTTCAACTTTAGAAGTCGAGGAGTTACCCATAAAAAGTTGTTCACCGTTGTCTACTATAAAACAAGATGTGGACATCTTTTTGTCGACACAGATGTGGCGAGTAGCACCAGTGTCCACCCAGCGTTCTTTAGGATTTCCGACAAGGTTTGCCTCGAAAACAACTGCAGAAAGATTTATGTCCTCAACACTATTGGAAATTCTATCCACTTCGGTTATATTGGCTTGAGTAGCTTTCTTGCTTAATCTTTCTTTGCCTTTGCGTAAATTAGTTCCTAAAAACTTCTCTGGCTTTTCACCGTGATTCACTGGCACAGTCACAACATGAGAAGAGATTGACGCAATTGCAGCCACTATACCAGTACTGGTTCGAACATTAGTTTGACCAATTTTTGTAGCCATGAATTCTAAATTACAAAACAAAATTATAATTAGAATTTTATACTACACAGAAAATTAAACCAAAACATAGAATTTAATTTTGTAAAAATAAAAGAAACAAGAATTATAACTTTTATTTCCAATTAATTTGAAAACAAAGTAAACTTTTATTTAAACAAATTAATTCCACACAGAAAATTAAATTTCTGTAACACTTCAAAAATTATTTCTGGAAACCAAAATTAATTTATGATCAACTTTACAAATAAATAGTCTAAATTTTTAATAACTACTACTATATTACTACTAGTTATCAAAGAAAATAAACAGTATATTACTACTATTTTTCAAACAATATATTACTACTAGATGTTTTTCCAACCAAAATATTATTTTGTAAAACTATAGAAAATAATTTCTGTAAGATGAAGAAAGAGAAAAGGAAACAAATGAAAAATTCTGTATAAACTGAATAATTCAATTCTGTCTTAAGATTGTTGGAACAATCTTTTGTGTAAAATAAATAATGTGAGACAAATCAAACAAATAAAAATAAATTACTTACCGAATTTATTTTACCGAAATGAATAAGCACATAAATAGATCAAGTCGGGTGTGTGACACTCTGTCCTTAAGACAGATTCGCCCCACTTTAGTGCTTACGAATAAAAGGCGTCTATCTCTCAAGATACAATGATCTTTACACAAATTGTAGTAGCACTCCAAACAATATGTACAGCGAACTAGAACCTGCGTTCTCTACAATCAAAATTTCTCTAAAAAACTAATATGAAGAACAATGCAAAGAGAGAGAAAAAACGGGAAGAGAATATGATTTCTGGATGTGAAAATATGTTGGAAATGATCTCTATTTATAGGCAAGTGGTGCCTGTTCGGACAGATCCAAACAGGTATGAAAATGAATTGAACGTGTGAAAATTCAAACTGGACAGATTCAACTTCAAACTGAATAGATTTGCTAGAAAATGGAACCTGTTCGGTCCAACTGCTTGAACTATTTGAACTTGCTGGAAATTGGCCTGGAGAAGGGCTCTGTTTGGACAAAAAAAATTGGCGCAAAATTTAAATCAATTTTGTTTAGAAAAAATAAATTTTTCCTCAAGAATTTTTTTTGGAAAAATTCAAATAAATTTGTCCAAAAAATTAATGTTAGAGCCGACCTGACCCACAACCCACACCAGCGCCCAGCAGAGCGGGCCGGATAGCGGTGGCTCGCGCGCACGTGTGGTGGTTTGAGCCAAGGTACACTTTGTCCATAACTCCTCCCTTCTACAAACTTTGGGTGCCCCTTGGGGCCCAACCTAAGTGTTGCCACCTAGAACTTATATACACACATAAGTTCTCTTAAGTTTTCAATGTGGGACAAGCCTTACAAGGAAACCCATATTTTATTCTTTATTTGTCCATTCCACGAACCTGAAAAAGACGTCAAGTTCCCATTCACTCATAAATGGTTTTGACGAACCGTCTTTACCGTGTGACTTGCTATGCGGCAAGGAACACGTCACCTTTTGGACCTACCCCAAAAGTTATGTGGGCCCTATCCAAATTTGGACTCAAAGTTGGCTCAAAATAAGCCTATAAAACCATATATTCTAACACTTAGTACATGAATCAAACAATATAATTAATGACTTAATTATTTAGAACTAAAACCTAAATGTCCTCCAAAAAAATGGAACCAAACCGCTCATTTGTGAGTATTCTAAGATCTCATGGTGAGAACCAACCTTTGTGAGTGTTCTATACAAAAAGAATATGTTATAATAGTGGAGTGCATCTCTCTTTGTTTCGACTGGAAATATTTTAATGAAAGTCAAGAAAAAATATTTTTTATAATCAACAAGAAAACAAACTTACTTTGATAGAAAATACTTTCTACTTTTGAAACATGAAAAATGTTTTTTAGATTAAAATGTTGCCAACGCCACCACACTTCCACTGGTATATTAGTTTTAAGTTACAACCAAATATAAGAAAACATTTTATGCTAAAACAAATAGTGAATACAATGAGAATACTACAGAATGGAGATACCATAGCTAGGTCTCATCATGTCAATATATATATATGTATATTCTTCATACTTCACTAATTTAATTATGTGCATATGAACATGTTGTAACAAGAAACATTTATTATGCTTTCAAATTGTACATGGTATCAAATTTAACAAAAAAACCTGAACTCCAAAAAGAGGAACTAGTTTATAAAACTTAACCCAGTAGATGAAAAGAAATGCTGTAGTCTTTTACAATAGTGAAGATTTTCATTTTTTTTAAACAGGTTTTGGGGCATATAACTTGCATCAATACAATGTATGTTTCTATCGAGCATTCAAAAGAGTAATGGTGATTTCGTTGACTGAACCTGTTGCTTCCTTGCTTGATGAACCGGCAGCCTCAAGAACATTCCTTTCGGTGAAGAAGCCAAGTTGTTTGGCCTGAGGCAATGTACGTTCACCACCGAACATCAGAACCACAGATGACATGCTTGGTCTATCCTCTGGAGATTGTTGCACACATAAAAGACCCGCGTGGATTGATCGCAACACTTCAGTTAGATAGCATGAGTGACTTACCTTCTTTGTAGAGTTTCCATGCCTGAACAGATGCTCACACAATCACACGGTTGTGAATGTTTTGGAACATGGGAGAAAGCGGGATTTAAGACAGAATATAAGAATACTTCTAAACTAAGTATGCTTACATGGCCAAGGAGGTTGAGGTGGTGATTTGGATGATAGAAACCTCTGTTTTTCTTCCCACTCATAATCTCTAACACCAAAATGCCAAAGCTGAATACATTTGATTTTGCTGAAAACAACCCATCCACTGCATACTCTGGAGATATATAACCACTGCAGAAAGAGTTAAATAAAGAACTAGATTTTGAAGCAATAGACAAAACATGTCGTATAGATTCTTACTATGTTCCTACCACTTTGCTTGTATTTGCTTCGGTCTCATTTCCCCGAAAACTTCTAGCCATTCCAAAGTCTGATATTTTTGGGTTCATGTCAATATCTAGCAAAATATTGCTTGCTTTAAGATCTCTGTGAATAATTCTCAGCCTGGAATCTTGATGAAGATAAAGAAGGCCTCGGGAAATCCCATTAATAATGTGGAAGCGCTTTGGCCAATCCAGTAGTGTGCTTCGGGTTTGATCTGTCAAAATTTTGTCTGATTTAGTCGATGCTCCTGCTAATCGAATGCATGAATTTAACAGGATTCCTCGATGGAAAATCCCAAATTTTGGAAGATCCAAGTTCATGCAAATGCACATGTAATACAAACTACATATAATTTTGTTCCCATAATCAAATAAATCAAAAAAGAGCCAAACCGAAAATAGTTGTGGTATGGTATTATAGTTTCAAGAGAGCCAAACCGAAAATAAAGTAGTCCAGGCTTTTGTTGGGCATGTATTCATAGATTAACATCTTTTCTTCTCCTTGAATGCAACATCCTAGAAGCTTCACGAGATTTCGGTGCTGAAGCTTGGTAATACAAATAACTTCATTCTTGAACTCGTCAAGTCCTTGGCTAGAATTCTTTGATAGCCGCTTCACAGCTATTTATTGTTCTCCTTCCAGCATACCCTGAGAATTACCATTATAATTGTTAGAATGTTCTTTTAAAACTTAAAAGAAAGCACCTTTTTTCTTTTCTAATTATTATGACTTTAACCTACCTTTTTTTAATAAGTTGCTCTGGCTATCATTGTTCCAACTTCCAACATGTGCAATTATGACCAGTGATTTATTTTACAACAATACCAAATACATACTCAAAAGGCATGATTACATAGATTTATGAAGTTTCATATGTGAGAAAAGATGCATCAAGCCAATTGTCATTTCTAAAAACTGAAAGAAAAAAAATATTGCAACCACCAATAATAACTTAGTCGCATAATAAGGAAAGGATAGTGAATGTTTTACTATGTTTGGGTAAGTGTGGAGAGTGGACAGATGGAGAGGATTTACAAAGTTAGAGCTTCTCTATAAGATTTTAAATAAGACTACCTTTCATTCACATCACTCCTAAGCAAAAGCTTAGTTTCAATCATTTTTCATTGTAGCATACTCAAAAATAAAATTCTAAAGCAGTTGTATTTATCAAAATTTTACATTCAGAATGGTGAGTTCTGTATTGAAAGGTTTTAATGAACAATAAGTATGGAAACACAAAATTTGTGGGCCCACACAAAGAAATGAATGCAACGATGTAGCCTGCTGCAGCACAACATTCTATGCACTTTTCCATGAAAAAAAAGTGTTTGTAGCCTTACAGAAAAGCAGTGATAAAAAATTTGAATGGTTTTATGGCTTCTACATAGGCTTCATGACTACATAAGAGTGTCTTTACATGGTTACCTTGTAAACACGTCCGAATCCACCCTCTCCAAGCTTATTGTTGATTGAAAAGTTACTAGTGGAATTAGCTATTACAGCTAAGTCAAACAATGGCAACTCTAGATCTTCCTTCTGGCTTTTGTCAGTGCAACCTTGTTCAAGGTTGTTCATCAAATTTCTTGCAAAGCGGGGATGAAATGGATGTAAACACAATGAGAAAACTAGTTCCAACTAGTAACATTCCATTACAGACTTTACCACAGAATGACACATCAGATATATACCTTCTTTGTTCAGTTGTGAATTCTTTATTTTCTTTTTTTTAGAGATACAAGGTTACGCTCATGCCTATCAGAAGAAGTCCAATTAACAATGCCAATGTCGCTGCCAATATCTCCATTTTCTTGCCTTTGATGCTAGTTTGTTGGACTATTGAATCCTTAATCCATTAACAAAAAATGGTCAAGTCAGTTAGATAATACAACCATGAAAGAACAAACTTAAATGATTTTTTTTTTTTTTTTTGCCCATGAAGCTAGACTTTAGATTCCAAACCTTTGAACATTTCCCATATATTGAAGTTGTTATAGGAAAGGCGATGAGAAAAGTTGAAACAAAACAAAAACATTACCACATAAGGATTTACGTAGTTCGCGTATAAGCCTATGTCTACGGGCAAAAAATGACAGAAGAGTTTTATATTCAATGTAAAGTCTCTCTCTCTCTCTGTCTCTCAACAACCTATTTACAGAAGTTCACAAGATAATCCTAGAGCCTTAAAATAATCCAATCACGTCAAAATAGACGCAAATACAAATAGGAAGTTGGACCTATAGGGTCGATCCATGCAGGCCGAGGATGGGTAATAAACATCATTCAAATTGAATCAACTAAGCCTAGCCTAGTTGGCCACTACACCTTCCTTCGGGCTTAACCCTAAGGAGGTCATGGGTTCAATTCTCCTTAGGGGGTTGAATTAAGGGAGTGCAAGCACTTAGGTGCTTTGCTAAGGATGTGGAGATTTTCTCTCATGGGTGCTGATCTAACAACTAGCAACTAACATTTGCCGATCAAAAAAAAAAAAAAAAAAAACATCATTCAAATTTAATTCAAGACCC